AGTTGTTTCTTCCTGCAACCATGAGGCAAGTGGGCTCCTTGGAAAGTGCCACTGGCCTTTGCTCCAGAAAGACAAGTGAAATTGCCAACTATTACCTTGTAAGACCATGGAAACTCTCCCCCGGTTCTCCTCTGATTGGCTGTGGTCCCTGGAGAATCAGTGTCCGGGGCCTCCCGTGAAGGAAGCAGCCAGCAGAGATGATGTCTCCACTGTAATACCCAGAAGCCAGATCCTAACCTGGTTCTCTCGGGGCAGGTACAGTGCTGACAGGTCGGTCCTGGTGCGGGCACACCCATTGGCGCTGACCTAGCGAGAACAGCTAGTGTTTATGTAGCCTTGGCCAGAGCCAGGCTCTGGGCTGAAGTCTGTAAGGAACCGCATTTAATCCTATCATCCCCATGAGCACTTGGATCCCTTTAGGGTAAACTAATTTTATCCCCACTTCACAGAAGAAAGAGAGGCTCAAAGAGAGTAACACCCTTCACCCATAGCTGGTAAGCTGAGCAAACGGAGACTGGGAAAGAACAAAACCTGCCGAGACTCCAGAGCCTGAGGCCCACCCAGACCTACCTCCCCTGAAGTCCTACCCAATCAGTCAGCAGTCAGACCAGTGCCTTCCGCTTCTAGCTCTCCGCTCGGCCTGCTTCACTGAGAAGTCTGAAGGATTTCTTTTTAAAAGGTAACACTTTATCTCTCTAATTTTGTGTGCATGCCTGCATTCGTCTGCAGCTACACGCGTGCATGTATGCATGTGGACGTCAGGAGACAGCACTCAGGAGTTCCTTCTCTCCCTTACATAGGGTCCCAGATCATGGCAGGAGATGCCAGGACTTGCTGGGCCATCTCGACAATGACCCAGTGTGTCTGCAGGCTGGTGGCACTTCCTCCTTGGGGACAAACTTCTTCCTGACATGGTTGGGCTCTCTCTGCTCATGCTGACTTGCTCAGGGATCCCTGACTGGTCCTTCGTCTGGGGTCCAGTTAGAGTGCTCTCACAGTGTCCTTTGAGAACCCTTTTCTCAGGAGGCATGCCCATCACACATATGTCCTTCCTGCAAAGTGAAAACTGCAGCCACGTTGCTTCTTGTAGCTGTCGAGGAATAAAGACCTATGGACAGTGCGTGGCACACGCAGAAATAGTTGTCCCTGTTTCTACTGCACAGTAATTAGTTGGCTTCTCCTTTTCCCCTTGCTTGGCTAGACAACCATGAGAGGAGGGCATTGGCTCAGCTTCAGGCTAGTATACTCGGATCTGCTAAGTGGAGGGCCGGAGTCTAGGTGAGGGCTTGCAGTCACAATGAGTGAGAGTTCAGGGCCGCAGCCCAACTCAACTGTCAAAGTTCATGCCAGGGCCAACATCAGTGACAGCTTGGGCCCTGCAAGGCTCAAGTAGTTAGGTCTTCAGCCATGACCTCTTCTGTCTGGAGTTTCAGAACCACTGTTCCCCATCCCCAGCAATGCCACACTTACCTGCCTACTCTGCCTACCATATTTGTCTGGAAAACTAAGGCAGATGCATCCTGGACACCCAAAGAGAAGGCAGAAATGGAACTGTCCTTTAACGGGAGATAAACTATTCCCTCAGGGGCTGAATCTCATACAAGAGCTCTGAGATTGAATATGAATTTGGGCAATTGTGTCACTAGACCAAGGGAGAAATGCTTGGAGAGAAAAAAGAGCCCATTGGGGGTTTAGGGGATGGTGATCCAAGCAGCAAGTTGCTCCCAACACTAGGGTCAGGTCTCCCTTGACTCAACCCTTGGGGTCTGTCTAGGAGTTCATCCCTGATGACATGTCATTGTCGTTTGTAGGGTGGTGTGATTTGAACCCAGGGCTTCATACATACTAGGCAAGTGCTCATCTCCTGAGCTATATATCTGGCATTCTCACAATCTTTTGTTTGTTTGGGAGTGTTGTTGTTGTTTTGTTTCTACACATAGAAAGACAGGCTTTCTATGTGTAGCTCTGCTGGCTGTCCTGGAACTTGCTCGCTATGTAGACCAGGCTGGCCTTGGAATCAGAGATCCACCTGCTTCTGCCTCCCAAGTGTTGGGATCAAAGGCTTATGTCACTACTACCTGATAGTGTCTCGTAGTCTTTTATTTTTGTTTTGTTTGTGTGTCCATGTGTGTGTGTTTGTGCAGGTGCACAAGTGCGCATCTTGTGTGAGTAGAGTCCTCAGAAGTATCTTCCTGAAGCTTGTGCCGTCCATCCCACAGCTGTCTATGGCTTCTGCCACACACCCTACTCCGCACTGACTAAAGATGGGGTGCCCAAGGGTCTGGAAGACTCAGTTAGAAACTGTTTTAGAGCTCCATGTTTCTCGGATGTGCCAGCAATCTAGAAACTCATGGATGGCCTTCAGGGCTCTAGTCATGTCTCCTCTCCACTGGATCTGTTCCAACTTCAGTACATTCTAAAAGTCCTTAGAGATCTAAGGAACTGGAATTCTGGGAAATTCCTAGTGCCCAGGAATTCCAAGAGTCTCCCTCAATTCCAGTGTTCTGAGCTACTGGCAGCCTTTTTTCAACAGCTTTTTAAACACTTGGGGTCAAAGTCCTGTCCCCAAATTCCAGCAATCTGTGTTAGGCAGTGGCTTTTAGAATTCCAGAAGAGCCTCTTGGGTCTGCAGTTCTCTGTGAGGGACACATGGAGGTGTAGTCTCACCTGGGACTGTAATCCTGTGGAATACCCCAGAGCTTGGGGTCCTAGAGAAGCAGCCGTCCTGGAGGGGGTGGTGAGGGAATGGTGAGCACAGCTCTGGGCAGCCAGGGGCAGCGAGGGCAGCAGAGTACCACGTGTCTTGGGAAGGAAGCCAGGCTTTTGTTAAGGGCAGGAGCTGGAACTAAGAACCAGGCTGGCTGAAGAAGAGTCTCCAAGTGCTAGCTAGGCAGCTGGGGCCAGGGTGCCCCCTGGGGTCCCCATCCATCCTCTCACTCCCAAGGTGGCTGGGGAAAGCTCTCATCCTTGGTGCCAGGGCTTTCCCTGCCTGAGGCCAAAGACCTCCCAATAAGCAGGGCTGTGCATCAGGCAGTGAACTGAGGGTTCAGGGGGCCAAGGAGGGGCGGGAACACGCAAGCCACCACACTGATATGGCGCTGTGACGTCAGGAGAGGGGAACTTCTGCTGTCCACTGGGGACCCCCTCCCCCTTCAGGTCTCTGCATAAGCATCACCCCCATGAGGCCTTTCTAGAACCCAGCACTGAGAACCCCAACCTGCCCAGGCATGGCTCGTTGGTACTGCCTGTATTCTGTGAGAGCAACACATGCCCCAGGCAAGTTCCCGTATGTATCTGTTGAGTAGCTTGTGAGAATGTGTGTGTGTGTGTCTGTGTGTGTGTGTGTGTAAATACGCACATATGGAGGCCAGAGGTCAAGCTCAGGAATAATTCCTCAGGTGCCATCTACCTTTGGTGGATGAGAGAGAGCCTCTCACTGTTCTGGAACTCATGGTTTTGGCCAGACTGGCTGGCTAGAGAGCACTGGGGATCTTCCTGTCTCCACCTCCTCAGTGCCGGATTACAAGCCTGTGCCGCTACACCTGTTGTTGTTGCTATTATTACTCAAGTGTATGTGTGTCTCTGTATGTGTATGTGTGTGTGTGTGTCTGTCTGCCTCCTGTCTGACTGTCTGTTTTCAGTCTCCTGGAGGAGCTGTATTACTCAAGTGAAGGTCAGAGGACACCTGAAGATGGTTCTCTTCCCACGTGTGGGTCCTAGGGATTGAACTCCGGTCGACAGGCTTGGCAGTCACTGCCTTTACTTTGCTGAACCATTTTAGCTGCCTCCTACCTTAATTTTTATGTTTGTGCTATGGATTGAACTCAGGTCCTTAGGTTTGCATAACGAGCACTTCACCAACTCAGCCATCTCCATGCTCAGGACTATTAATTCTATCAAACTGTCATGTGACTACAAGTGCTTTTGACCAAACTTTTGGCAAAAGAAGCAGCCTCTTGTGACATTCTTTACAAATGTCAGGGAGTTTAATCTCCATAAAGGTCATGTAAAGGAGCACCAGTCTTGTGCCCATTTTGAACATAAGGTAACCTGAGCTCAGGACAGCTAAGCTGCCCAGGACCACTTGTGGAGAAGGGACAAGTGATTGGAACCTGTGTGGCTAAGCCTGCTCTGCCTGCCTGTATTTGGCCATCACCCTGTCTCTGGAGTCTGCTTGGACCCTGGCCTCTGCTGAATACCCCCACTGTCCATTCTCAAGTCATAACCCTTCACATCTCTTCCCTTAGGGCTGCAGCCTGAGCTGAAGCAGTTATCCCTAGCTTCCAGAACCTTCCCTACATAGACTCAGGAGTCCTGGGGAAAAGCCTAAGACACACAACACACTCAGAAAGACCTTGAGGCACCCTGGTTTCATATTTGTGTCCTTATTCCCCAAAGGGAGCATGCTTTGGAGACATTCACGGCTTCTTTTTAAAATGCTGGGTGAGAGAACACAGAGTGTTTCTTTGCTTGGTCTTGCTCTAGGGAGTATGGTGGAGAAAGTGGTAGGTCACCCCTTTCAGAGACAGGAAGTCTCCAGGTCAGGCCAGCAGCCTCCAACAAGCCCAGGCCCCAATGCTCTCTAGAGCTTCCTAATTAGCTTGGCCTGTTCCTCCCCTAGGCTCCCACAGGCCTGTGGTAGAGGCTTGCCTGCTTGGAGCCCTCGCCAGTACCAGGCTTCAGGTCTCAGAGGAGGCCCACCCGGATGTCAGGCTTAAGCCCTGCAAGCCAAGGTTGCCCCCTCTATCTGCCAATCCCTACCAGTGTAGTGCTTCTACTACCCATGGGACCAACATGACCATGACACAAGCCTCTGCTGGGGCCTCTCAACAACTTTCCATGGCTCCCTTATGCTGTTGACACAGCCCAAACTCTGAATGTAGCTACAGCACCCTGAAGTCTTTGGGCTTTTGCAGCACAGCCCTGCTACTTTCCCTAGGCCACGCCCAATAAAAGTGACAGCCACCTAGCTGGCAGCGCAGAACACGAGGAAAACTAGATTAGAGCCAATGCCTTTCTTTATTCAGGTTTTCCCACCCACTGCCAGCATCTCCTGAGCCCAGCCTCAGGTTGAAGGTCTGGGGCAGGGGACCCTGTACCCCCTTAGTATTCCCCAGCTCTGCCCAGCAACATTTCTTTCCCATTCACAGACTGAGAGTTGAAAGCCTAGTGCACAGAGCCAGTCTGGCAGTCTTTAATGAGGAGCAAGGACTTGGCCAGGGCTCTGCATATTCTCGCTGGCCTGTGGCTGCCTCTGGCTGAGGTTCAGGGAGCTGCTCCTCTGATGTGTCAGGGCCTCCAGCCTCTGGCCCAGGTTAGGGATCCCAGATCCTCCTAAGGAGCAATGAGACTCAAATCCTGTCCCCAGGCCACCTCCAGACTACTGAGGCCCAGGATCTTGTGTGGCAGCCTCCAGTACCCTCTCCCCAAGTTCCCAGGCTCCAGCAGAGGTCAAGACTAAAGGGGAGGCCTCTGCCACGAGACAGGAAGCATGGTTCAAGATGGAAACCCCACAGCCTAACCCCCAATTTCACCTCTTAGCCTGGGCGGCATGCCGAGGACCCTGAGGGCAAGGGCGGTGCGGAGGGGACCACCTCCTCTCCTGTCAGCATCTCTGCCAGCACTGGAGTCTGGGTCCAGTCACTATGGCTCCTGGGTGGGTGTGGAGAAAGAATGAGCCTAGTCGCTCCAGGCCTCCCCCTGCCACTCCAAGACCCCAGGCTTGACCCACCTCTCTCGTTGGGTCTTGGCAGAGCCTGAAATTGGTGAAGGTGCTTGGGGTGGGGCCCATGAAGACAGAGACACATGACCTGGGGCCTTGGGCTCCAGCACCTGCTGAAAAGACCAAAGCCCATACCGGGTGAGTTCAGGCTTTCATGACTGTATATCATTTCCTCCATGCTGACCCTAGCCATGCCTGTTGGCAGGGTGTCAAGGACAGCATGCCAACATACAAAGGGGCTCTCTCATTTCCTCTGTGGGCTACGCGGGTGCTTCTTGTAATGTCGTCTCCAGGGATCCTGAGCCCTTTGAAGGCAGAGGATAACACAGAGGTGGGCCTTAGTCTGGCTTAAGGAGGTTTCCAGAAGGAATGGGTGCATGGATGAAGAGGTAAAGGCAGGAATGGATGAGCATGGGTGAATGAGACAGAAAGTGAAAAGAAGGCAGGGCCGGAGGCCAGGGAAGCAGACATTCCACACCCTGGGATGAGATGTGGGCCCAGTGCCAGCCCTTCGCTCCTGTGCCCCAGTCCAGAGCCCTGGAATCACTGCCACCACTGGACCCTAGATCAGTGTCTCCACCTCTCCAGGTTCACCTTCTCCTTTCATACCTGCGACACATGGCAGTCTCTCCACGGGCAAGCCCACCTCGCCAGGGGTGCTCGGCACAAAGGGCAGAGGTGGAAGCAGGAGCAGACGGGGGGTAGTGCCTGCAAGAGGGCATATCAGTGGCTGTGGCATTCTAGGCTGTTCACCACAACCCAGGGTGAGCCAGACTCACATGGCAGGAGGCAGCTGGAGCCATTGAGCAGGGGCACATGGAGGCAGAGCCCTGCTGGGGGAGGGAGCACACAGAAAGATGCCTGGGAAGAGAAGTGGATCTGAGCTCAGTCCCCGACCCTGACACTCTGTGAACTCATCAGCAAACAATGCTGTAGGGCAGCCAAGCCAAGACTCTATTTCCCAGAAGAACCCCTCGGCAGTTAGTGGTCCAATGACTACCCCAGGGTGGTCCGTTCAGCCGGGAAGTGGCAGAGTCAGAAGCTGAGGCCAATGATCGGCTGCCAAAGCCTGATGACGCCCGCTCATTCTCAAAGTCCTCTCTGCTAGCTTTCACATCCTAAGCCTTCCATATGGCTACACTCACCTCTCCAGTTTGTGGACCTGCTGGGCCAGGACACGCTGCTCTGCCTGGGCCAGGTCCCTGCTACTCCGAAGCTGTCTCATTTCCTTCCTAGTGGGGAGTAAGCGCCTGGTGATGAGAGACAGCACCAGCACCCGAGGAAGGTGGGAACCCATGGGAGCAGAGAACCGTGGATGGGTAGGTGATATCTTCCCAAAGTAGATGAGCAGGAAGGGGTAGAGACAGAATCCCAGTGCTGGACCCACTTTGTTTTACCTGAGCCTCTCATTCTCTAGCATAAACTCTTGCAGCATGCCATAGAGGTTCCGCTGGGCCCAGGCCACCCGAGCCCCATGGGCCCCTGGTGCTGCAGGAAAGCAGGCCATTGCTGGACTCTAAGCAACCCAGATTCTACCCACACCCCCTCCTGGCCTTCAGGAAGCTCATACCCTTAGTGTGCATTTGATCCAGCTGGAGCCGCAGATGATGATTCTCCTCTTGGAGCCGCAACAGCTCAGCCTCTACTTGCTGGGGTGGCTTTGCTCCAGGAGGCTACCAAGGAAGAAGAAACCCTGACCACTTTATGATTGTATGGGCTGTGCACAGTGTGAGGGCTTCCCTGTGTGAGGATTTGTGGGGTCTAAACTCCAGTTCCTGCTTCACTTGCCAGCTTTGCATGCTGGCCCAGGTCGCACCTCATTCTCACTGTGTCATCCTGAAGGGACTCAGTCAGAACTGGACTTGTCCAAGCCCAAACTCAGTTCTGCCTCTTGGCTTAGATTGGGATCCCCAAATTGACCATATTTTGGACTCCAGACTAGACCCAACCAGCTGAGATCTGGGATAGGTCTTGATGACAGCCCACTCAGTCTCCAACCCTAGGCCTGTCCAGACTCTAACTGTGACGTAGACCTTTGGCTATGACCCTGACACCAATCATGACATCATTCCCAGGATTCCAACCCAAATCTCAACTCTGATCCATCCTAGATTCCTAACTCGGGCTCTGGCTGTTACCTGCTCACCTTGGGGCCCTGTGGCCGGGTGGTGACCCTCTGAGCTCGGCTTGCATATCGCAGAGTGCTGAGAGTCTCAGGAAGGCTCTGAGCTGAAGGGGATACGCAGGCAACCTGGAGAGGCCTGCCCCTGAGTGTTTATCTGGAAAAGACCCTTTCTCAGGGCCCAGCCCCTCCACAGCTCCCTCAGGTGTCAGATACCATGAGGGTGACCCCATGACCCCCAAGAGAGTCTGCCAGCAGCTTGGTAAGCTTGCTGTCCCGGAACGGAATGTGGCTGTGCTTCCTCTGTGGGTCCAACAGCAGGGAGATGCAGTGGCCTAGTGGGAAGAAGAAGGCCCAGAGAGATTTCACTGTGTGACCAGAGTTGCCTGGCTGGGCTGCTGCTGTGTGGGAGGTTCAGTTGGGCCGATGAAACCCCAGCCCATCACATCGCTTTCACATTGGTTTCCAGCAGCAGCAGACTGGGCTCTCTGAAGGCGCAGACGTACTGTTTACCCAATTCCCAACATTTAGCAGAGATCTCAGACAAATAACTGACAAAAAAACAAACAAAAAAACAGCAGCTGCCACATCATAGGCAGGTACTGAAGCTAGGGACCTAGGGACCTAGGGCCAGCCATGCAGTTGGGTACAAAGACACATTCCTTTCCCCATGCTGTGCCTGTGTCTGCTCTGAACATGAAGACTGATAACCCTCTACCAGAGGAGGAAAGTCAGCTTCAGACCTGATGCCAGGGCTCCAGGCCTCTTCTGTGACTACAAGTTCTGTGGTCACCCTAGTACAGCAATGGAGCTGGAGGAAAGAAGGGGCTCAGAGGTCAGGAGGCTCCCAGGTCTTACCCAATGCCAGCAGGCTGCGGTTAATACTGTTGGCCTCAAGCATCAGCTGCCCTCGGGATCCTGTGGCTGCCACCTTCTCACTGCCTGCCAGGTCCACGAAGCACAGCTTTCCTCCAACAGGGGGCTCCTCGAGGTCCATGGGGGGTACCTGCTGAGGCTGAAGAACCAGGGCTTGATGGGGACTTGGAGAAGACTATCTCCATCAAAGTCACAGTGTCTCAAGGTCAAAGGTTTCACCCCCCACAGCCAGAAGATCCAAGTTGGATTATACATGCAAAGCCAGAGCCATGCTGGGTAGCCCTGAGCCAGGCCTTCCCCAGGCTTGGCACTCACAGTTGGGCGGCTGATGTAGAGTGTGAGCAAGGCATGGCTTCTGCTGGAGGCCTGGTTCAAGGTATGTGAGGAGCTCCGACGACGGCTGAGACCTGGGGAAGAAGACTTTAGAAGCTGTAGCATGTAGGGAGAAAGGGCCATGCCCAGGAGCAAGAATGTCAGAGAGCTATCAGGACAGGAGCGCAAAGGACTGGCTTAGGAAGTGAAGGGCGCCAGCTTTGGTGCTGATAGGTGCAAGGAGTGTGGGAGAAGGGAGCACAAGCATGGCAGATTAGCACCTTTCTTACCTGTGGCAAGACAGAGAAACGAAAGCAGAGGTCAGCAAAGAAAGGAAAGCTGGGGCCAGTCTGGCCAGTGTCCCAGTGTCCCCAGTGCCTGCCAGGGGAGGGTTCTAAGTAAATGCTCAAACTAAGGCTGAAATGATAGGACCTTATAGATGAGCTAAGCTAAGAGGTATACCCATTGTGCGCTTAGGCCCTGCAAGGGTGGCAGGTCTGAAACCAAGAGGAGTGCGCCGGAGGCTTGGCAGGCAATCCGGAAGGCACGGCAACCCTCACGGCAAGGCAGCTTGCATGTGGGCGCCCTTGCCACATCTTTGGATTGCTGCTTTGCTGACCCTTCTCTGCAAGAGTCCTTTCTGAAGTCCCAGTTCCAGCAGCCAGGTCCGCAGGGAGCCTCACAGGGAGCTGAGGAATCCTTGGCCCCAAAGCTACCAATAAGGCAAACTACCCATCTGCAGGAGCTCCATCAGGGCCTCCAGAGTGCCAAACTCCACCACCCGAAGCTGCTCCACATAGAAGCCTCGGGACTTGCTCCACCTAACAGGCAGAGGCCGCGGAGACCCCAGGCTCAGCAAGTCCTGAACCTGAGAGGGGAAGGAGGAGAAGCGGGCTCCATTCACTCATAGCCTTTGACAATGGTTACCCCTCCCATTCCCCTTCTAGCATCCGACCTTCTTTCCAGGCGGACTGCCATTTGCTTACCTGCTCGTTGTAGATCTCCAGGTAAGAGGCTCGGAGGGTGACAGGGGCTTCCAGGTGCCGCACGCGGTCCAATAGCCAGGTGAAGGTCCTCTGCATGATGCCAACCAGGCTGGCGGGCACGGGCACCCCTTCCCCCTGGGGGTAAAGACAGCTGGGGCTGTAGCACGAGCTCCAGTAGCAGAGCCCTAACTGTGCAGGAAGCCAACGCGCCACGAAGTAGCTCCGTAGTTCATCAGTGCCACCCCACAGACACTACCTCAGCACTTACTCGACGCCACCCCACAGATGAACTAACCGAAAGCCAGAAAGTGAAGTTGCCCAAGTTAGAATACAAATGCTCCAAACTCTGCAAGCCCCTGCCTTCTTTTCCCCAGGCACCGGGTCTGTGAACCAATGGGGTGGGGCAGCGTTGGCCACGCCTCCTCCGCCCCGGAGTCCCACCCACAACCCGGAGCCGGCCAGCGCCCAAGCCTGCGGCCCACCTGCGGAGGCGGTCCCGTCAGAGTGTAAGTCTTCCCGGAGCCAGTCTGACCAAAAGTGAAGACCGTGCAGGAGAAGCTGTGGACGGCAAGGGCGTGGCTGGGCCCGGGAGACGGGGTCGGGCGGTGCGGAGCCCCACGCCCCGCGCAGCCCGCGCCGCACTCACCCACGCAGGGCCAGCTCGCCCAGGCGCTTCACGCCGCACGCCCTGAACACGTCCTCCTGCGTGCGCGCCCCGTCCAGTACCGCACCAAAGCGAAACGCCACGTCGGGGCCTCCCCCCGGGGGGCTCACCTAGAAAGGGGATGGCGTCGAGGCGGGGCCCTGCAGTACCCTGCAGCCCGGGCAGGAAGGGCCGTTTTCAGGGGTGGGGGAGGGCACGCTGAAGGAATGGAGGCACCTTAGAGGGGAGGAACCCTCCGGGATGAGGGAGGTACTGTGTAGGGATGGGGCCTTCGGAGGAGCACTCTGGATTGAGCGGAGTGTCGGGGGGGGGGCATTCTGGGGCAGGAGAGGGCATCCTAGGGAAGCAAGACTAAAGGAGGACAGGATGGGCACTCTGTGAGGGAAGGGCAATCCGCAGAAAGAGGTGTCCTAAGGTAAAGTTGCTTCGAGGATCCACCCACAGGATCCTTTGTGAGGCTGGAAAGGTTCTCACCTGCAGAGTCCGGGTCCCCGAGCAGTGCAGGACACTCTGCTCCCCTCTACGCAGCTCCCCGGTGCTCATGGGACGCACCCTGGATCCAAGAGAGACCAGATGGGTCATCCAGATACTGCTTTTCGTCCCTTCTTGGCCCGCGTGCCTCCTGGTCCACCAGTGCTTACCTGAGCACCACCTGAATGGGGGTTTCTGGTCCTTCTGTCCCCTGCTCCAGGCTCCGCTCTGGGTCTCTGTGGCCACAAGAAGGTTACCATTCCTGCCCCTAGTTTCTTCCTCTGGGAGAGCTTCCAGGGCTCCGAAACCTCACACAAACTGTGCTTACCCGTCGGGAGACCCCCGTTCCTCCATGCCGTGTACTGTGCACGATTCCTTTCCCTTTCTAGTCTGCCTCCCCTCACCACAGAGACTGTCCAGACACACCTTCCTTCCCCTCCCCACTCCCTCACAGCCAGTCATCCAGAAAGACTCCAGCCGGCCCAGAGCTAGCAAGTTAAAGATTTACCCGCTCTACACGTGAGGTGGGGACAGTCCCATGCCAGGGCATTCTAGACAGGGGGTTCTGGTGTCTAAGGATCCCTTGCTTTTGGCCAGTCTCCTCTGGAGGGAGCTAAAGGACCACCCAGACCATCTTCCTTTGTCACAGAGACACACTTCAGGGAAAGGGCTCAGTCTGGGCCGCAGAGCCAGAGAACGAAACAGGCTCTTCTGGCACACAGCCTCCCTCTCTCAGTAGCTCAGCCTTTTCTTAGAGCAGAGACCAGGGAGTGGAGGACCACAAGAAACCTGGCTGGCTGGCTAGCCTCTAGGCTAAGCTGACATCAGCTTCCCAGCATCTGGTTAAACATTGGTGCACCTGCCAAGTGAAGGCTAATCCAAAGCCAGTATGTTCTTTAACCCTTTTGGTCTGACTTCCCAGAGCAGCCACAGCAGCAGAGATGTCTGTGAGTGTGCTCAGACTGGATCACCATTCTTTGCCAGTCTCCAGGATGACCCCAGGCCTGATTAGTCATATGTAGACCTGCCCATTGTTGCTGAGGAGACAGATGGGAACAACCTGTGGGTTTGGAGTCTTTGGGGAAAGCACAGAGACTTGTAGTTGGGGGTGCATGGAGCAAGAGGGCAGGTGAGGAACTCCAAGTGAAGCACACAATTCAGGAAGGCAGGGATAAGGTGCAGAGATGGGGCTTCGAGAGATGTTTGGGGGCTGGTGAGGGGTACATCCTCCGGACCAACTCCTCAGAGAACTAGAAAGTCACTGGGGGTCACTAACAGGGAATTGACAGTCAGGTTGCCATTGTTGTTGAGTCAGCAAGAGGAGAGGAACAGAAGAGAACACAGAAGGCATTAGGGGCAATGTCATCATGGGGCACCCTAAGTCTCAGACTTCTACTCTGGGCTGATGAAGAGTCAGGCCTCGAATAGAGTCAAGTAGATGGAGTATGTAGGGGAAGTATAGTGTCTGTGTTCTCTCTGCTGTCTCTGTTTCTCTTTGTCTCTCTCTCTCTCTCTCACACACAGACATGCACGTGCATTGGCATGTCATGGCACAAGTGTGGAGGTCAGAGGATGATCAGGTGTCAACCTTGCCTTCCACTAAGGACAAGGGCAGATATAGCTCTCTTGACAGAGTGCCTAACATGAGGGAAGCCCTAAATTCATTTCCTAATACCACAAAAGTAGGCACATGCCTGCAGTCCCAAAACAAAGGAGGCAGAGGCAGGCATCAGAAGTTCAAGGTTATCCTTAACTACATAGCAAGTTCAAGGCCAGCCTGAAATCCTTGAGAACCTGTTCAATGGTTAATCTTGGTTGTCAACAGGTGCTGGAATTGTCTGAAACATAAGAAGCTGGGTACTCATGTGAGGAATTTTTTAGGTCTGATTATCTGAGGTGGGAAGACACACCCTAAATATGGGTAACACCTTCTGGTAGTATTCCAGAGAATAGGAGATGGAGAAGGAGACTTTGCTTTTTTGCCTGCTTGCCCTCTGCAGGCAAGTTCATCTACCCCATTGCTTCCTCTGCTGCAGCATTCTTTTGCTGATATTAGAACCAGCTTCTTAAGACTTCCAACATAGAGGAGAAATATACAAGCCCACTACCATAGATGGTGCATGCATCAGGATTCTCTAGGGAACAGAAGTGATGGAAGGAGTATGTATGTGTGTGTATGTATGCATACATACATAACATACATATATATACATACATGTGTGAGGGATTTATTAGACTGGCTTACAAGACACAGTCTGTGTACTCCGGCAATGTCTGTCTTCACACGGGAAAGGGTGAGACCTGGTAGATGCTCAGTTCATGAGGCAGGAGGCCTCAGCAGTCCCAGTCTGGCACTGCAGGCCTAGAGGGATGCTGCAGAGCCACCAGTCTTCAGCCCATGTTGGAAGAAGTTGGGTTTGGGTATCAGGGAAGTATAGTGGCAGTATTGGCGGCAGCAGCAGCAGCAGCAGCAGCAGCAGCAGCAGGGTAGATGGACTTGTTGAACAGAGTAGATGAGCTTGCCAGCAAGACAAATAGCCAAAAAAGCAAAAGCTTTTCCTTTAGAAAAGCTTGTATCTGTGCTGCCACTGGAAAGTGCTACCCACATTAAGAGACGTCCCCCCCATTAAGGGCTGAATTAGAAGGAGGCAGCAAGCCGAATTCCAGCATCCATTTGTCTGTGCCTCCTGACGGATGGAGGGTGTATTGTGACCGTGTACATCAGTTTCCTTTGCCATGACTTTCCCTTATGATGGACTGTGCGTCCTCAAACTGAGCTAAAATAAGCCCCTCTTTAAATTGCTTTTGCAAGATGTTTTGTTATAGTATTGTGAGACACAACTAATGCAGGAGATTAATAATGACACATGAAAGAGCATATAAAGCTCCCCCTCCCTTGTTTTAGCTTCTTCATGTTTTTGTTTTTGTTTTTCTGTTTTGAGGGTAGTTCTGTTGAACTCAACTTTCTGTGTCTTAAAGTAGCAAAAACTATTTTTGCATTCAAAAGAATTCAACATATGTTATTTCTTTAAGGCCATAACTGTGAAGATTAATCTCTTCTTTCAATTCTATTGACCATTAGTGCATTAGGAATAAGAGATCCAAGTCACCAAATACTTTTGTCACATTGACCCACTTATGAAAAAATGATTTTTAAAAAATAAATTCTGAAGAACAGGAGTTTTCTAACCTTAAAATTCTCACCCCCCCCCACTTTTCTTTAAAATAATATCAAGCCAGGCATTGTGGCATAGGCCTTTAATCCCAGCACTCAGGAGGTAGAGACAGGCAGATCTCTGAATTTAAGACCAGCCTGATTTACACAGCAAATTCAGGACAGCCAGGGATACATAATGAGACCCTGTCTCCAGAAAAAAAAAAGTTTAAAAGTATGTCAAATCATGTTATTATAGTTATTTAATATGTATGTTATATTGCTATACATAAAGCATGGTTTAAAAACTGTTTAGATAAATCATTTGAGCCAGTAAGATGGCTTATTGAGCAAAGGTACTTGAGGCTAAGACTGAAGATGTGGGTTTGATTCTTGAGACCCATATGGTGGGAGAAGACAGACTCACAAGTTGTTCTCTGACCACACACAGAGTACAGCATACTGGCTCCCTCCACAGGCATGTACACACGAGCAATAAGTAAATACATAAATAAATAATGCCAAAAATGGAAGACAGACAAAAGTGGTGAGCCTTGTTTCCATCTCAGGAAGCTGGACGGACAGCAGAGTCAACCAAGAAAAAGAGGGGAGGACATTGCACAGCCAAGAGCAGAGACAAATGAAATGCATAGCACAGCACAAAAATGCCAACAAAGGCACAAGTATTTTTAAAGAAATAATAATAATCAAACTGGATGACAGTGAATAATGAAGCACACACCTGTAATCCCATCACTCAGGGAGGCAGAGGCAGGAGGATCTCAGTGAGTTCGAGGCCAGCCTGGTCTACAAAGCCAGTCTAGGACAGCCAAGTCTCCACAGGGAAACCCTGTCTCAAAAAACTGAAACAATTAAATAATAAATAAGTATATAAAAATAATGGTGGGGCTGGAGCGATGACTGCGCAGTTAAGAGCAAGTTCTTGCTCTCACAGAGAACAAAAGTTCAATTCCCAACACCTACACCAGGCAGCTCGCAACCATCCATTACTCTAGCTCTGGGGGATTGACATCCTCTTCATACCTCCAAGGGCACCTTCCCAGTAGAAAATTATGAAAAGGCACATTGTTAGACTTATCCAGTTGGGCTCCATTTAGATGAGCCCAGTTTTGTCAAGGCCAAAAGCAGTGTGATGAGGAGCCAGGTGCATCTGCGTCTTGTCCCTGTAGAAGGTGGCAGTGGGGATAATGAGGCTAGAATCACTTCCCCCTCTGCTTCAGATGCTGTGATGAAAAGGCAAGAGCTGGCTTTTGGGTGAGACCATTCGCTTGTATAAATACCAAACTAATCCACAGAGAGAATCGAGAGCACAAAGACAACCAGTGTCAGAAACCAAAAGGGGACTCTGCTATGAATGTTGTGGACATTAAAAAACAATATGTGCTTAGAAATGCCTTTATGCTAATAATCTGAACTTGGCCCCATTCAGAAATGTGCAGACAAATCTGTTCAGACACTCAGTTAGTGAAATGGTTAAGGGAAATGAGTAGATATCTGTGTAACTGCATATCTGTTGAACAAGGTGGATTTGCAGTTGAAAACCTCCCAACAAAGGAAACTCTTGGCCCAGTGGCCCTCACTGGGGGATTTTCCAAACACACACACAAAAAAGCAGCAATATTAGTCTTTGACAAACTCAGAGCTAGAGCCAGAGGGAACATTTCCAAATTTGTTTAAAATCATTATTATTAAATAAATGAGCCCCTAATATTCACTTCTTACAATGGCATCAGATGAAAAGAAAATGGCAGGTCAGTATCTCTAATGAATACAAATGTTAAAATCTCAAGGAATTGTCACACAATCAAACACAGTGAGATATAACACATAACACTTGAAGATTAATGGTGTAGTTTAACACGCTGCAAGAAAAAAAAAACAACCCAATAAATACTGAAAACAACTATAAAACATATTATTCATGATTAAAAAAATAATAAGTTCTGAGCAACAAAGTATACAATGGACACTCCTTAACTGAATAAATGTTATCTGTACAAAATCTAAGTTTAACATCCTACTAAATGATTAAAATAACTCCTTCCATGACCACGATTCAAACTGCTAAAGTTTTCTCTTGGTATCCTTGAGAGATTGGTTTCACTGACGCTCTCCCATACCAATACCCATGGATACTCAAAGTCCTAACAGAAAGTGCACAGGATAGCTGAGAACTTGAGGTCGCCCTGGGTTACATGATAAGATCTATTTGCTAAAGACAGAATTTATGAAAGATACGTAAAAATGGCTCATTTGCTATGGTAAGAGAGCATCAGA